TTTTTAAAATATATTTTTATTGATTATTTAGAGGAAGGGTGAAGGAGAGAGAGAAAGAAAGAAAGATCCTATATAATAAAAGCCTATATGCAAATTGTCCCCTTGGGCAGTTGTTTGGCCTGGAGTTTGACCAGGACACCAGGAGTTCGACCGCTCCCTATGGCATGTGCTGACCACCAGGGGGAGGTGCAGAACATGGTGGGTGTCAGCGACTTGGCGCTGGCAGTGGGCGGCAGTGGAGGCACTGACAGCCCAATGGGCCCCAATGAGAGTGGGACCACGGCAGGATGGTGGAGCAGGTGAGCAGGCAGTGTCGCCAGGCCACGGCTGGTGCAAGTGGGGGTCTGACCGCCCCACCAATCACCCCGCTGATGGTGACCAGTGGCAGCAGCTGGGGACAGGGCTGCCACCCAGCTCCCAGGCGCTGAGGGAGCCTGGCAGGGGGGCCCAGCCCCGACTGATCACCCCGCAGGCGGGATGGAGGAGTAGGTGAGGGGGTGGCACCAGGCCAAGGCAGGGTGTCAAGTGGGGCTTCGGAGCTGTGAGGGTGGGGGTGCGAGCTGGGGCTGTGAGGCTGGGGGCAGGAGCTGGAGCCAGATCTCCACAGGCCACGCCCAAGGGACCCCACCCGTGCATGAATTGGTGCACCAGGCCTCTAGTCAATGATAAGAGAGACTCATGGATCAGCTGCCTCCTGTACACTCCCTACTGGGGATCAAGCCTGTAGCCTGCAACCCAGGCATGTGCATGTGCCCTGACCAGGAATTGAACTGTGACCTTTTGGTTCATAGGTAGACGGTCAACCACTGAACCATGCAAATGATTTCTCACAAGGCTGCCAAGACCACACAATAGGGAAGGACAGTCTCTTCAACACACGGTGCTGGGAAAACTGGGTATCCACATGCAAAAGAACGAAATTACACCCTTACCTTGAGCCATATACAAAAATTAACTCAAATGAATTAAAGACTTAAAACTATTAAATTCCTAGAGGAAAGTATGGGGAAAAGCTTCAGGACAATGGATTTGGCAATGATATAATGAATATGACACCAAAAGAAAAAATAGAGCAATGGGACTACAGCAGACTTTTAAAACTCCTGTATGTCAAAAGAAATAATCAACTGAGTGAAAAGGTAACCTACGGAATGGGAAAAAATAATAGCAAATCATATACCTGCTATGAGGTTAATATTCAGAATATATAAGGAACTCCTACAACTCTGTGGGCATATCCCCAGTGGGAGATGTGCAGGAGGCAGCTTATCGATGTTTCTCTCTCATCGATGTTTCTAACTCTCTATCTCTCTCCCTTCCTCTCTGTAAAAAATCAATAAAATATATTTTTTTAAAAATGGGCAAAGGGCTTTAATAGACAATTTATTAAAGAAGATATACAAGTGGCCAATAAGCAGAGGAAAAGATGCTCCACATCACTAATCACCAGGGAGATACAAATCAAAACCACAATGGGATATTATCTCACACCCATCAGGATGCTACTATCAATAGGACAGAAAATAACACGTTGGAGAGGGTGTGGAGAAGTTGGAACTTTTGTGTACTGCTGGTGGGAATGTAAAATGGTGCAGCCATTATGGAAAACAGTATGGATGTTCCTAAAAAGTTTAAAAATAGCATTACATATGATCCAGCAATCCCACTTCTGGTAGATATGCAAAAGAATTCAAAGCATGATCAGGGTTGAAATAAGCCTGGCAGATATGGGTCACCTGAGAAATGAAGTTTCATTGTTCCCAAGGTTCAAAATGGATTTGAGCTGATGAAACTCTCATTTTGATTTTCTAAGTTGTCATAAAATTACTACTTTGGGACCATCTACCAAATGTTAGAGATTGGACAAAAGGGATGGTGAGATTATTTCCTAAACCATAAAGCATAAAGATGAAAATGTTAGAGCCAAAGGGCACTTTAGGAAAACTGAATCCAATAGCCTAAAATTTCAAACAAAAATAGGACACAAGTGATTCACAGATATTAAGGAATGGAAAAGAAATACCTGAAAGTAAAGAGATTTAAAACAACAACAATAAGTGTTGGACTTAGAAGTCATGAGATGAAGATTTGGGAAATATAGTTTTATTTAAGGGCAGCATTACATCAGTTATTAAAAGTGGTCCAGCCCTAGCTGGTTTGACTCAGTGGATAGAGTGTTGGCCTGTGGACTGAAGAGTCCTGGGTTTGATTCCGGTCAAAGGCATGTGCCTGGGTCCTGCAGGAGGCAGCCTATCAATGATTCTCTCTCATCATTGATGTTTCTATCTTTCTCTCCCTCTCCCTTCCTCTCTGAAATCAATAAAAATATATTAAAAAATAAAATAAAAGTGGTCCAGAAAGCCAGTCAGATGTTAAAGCAATCCTTTGTAGAAAAATAAAAGGAAATACCCGTTTACACACTTGATCCAATTATATTTTTATACACTTTGGAATGCCACAGGGAGTTGCTAAAGATGTCACTTTGATTATTTCTCTTTGCGATATAAATTTAATAAACTCGGTACATACTATGGGCATTCTTCTGACTTAATGTGTTTCTTGAATAAATACCATAGGTTTCAGTATTTTGACATTTACTTCTGAATTGTAAGATTAGGTATGCAAGAGGTCCCGGTTTCATAGCTGGGTACCCCCTCCAAAACTAACTAACTAACTAACTAATTAACTAACTAATTAAGTATGAAAGGTATAGCCAACATCCCTGGGCTGGAGAACCTCTATACATAAGCCAGTGTAGAATGGAGGGCTTCCCTAAGTCTTGTGGTCTCCATGACATTTTGTACAGTTACAGTATATTTACTTTGTTTTTACTTTTTAAGACTTATAAATCACTCTACTTAATTTTTGCCAATAATTTTTTTTTGTCTGTAAAAAAGCTAGGTGTTCCTTTCTCCCCCTATTACAACACGGTGAACAGAAGTTATGTGGCGACCTCAGGCAACACATCTAAACAAAAAAGGGCAAAGCCAATGTTGACAGAGTGTGGGATAGAGACAATTCAAGGGCGGTGATGTCATCTCCGAGCTCCTTCGAAAGTCCTTATTTAGTAGCGTTCGGAGAGCGGTTCCGAAATTTGTCCCCCCACCGGTTGCGTCAGGACATTTGTTGAAAATATTGACTGCTGGTCTCTGCCCTAAACTTACTGAGTCAGAATTCGCTGAGATGGAACCCGCAAATCCGAATTTGTTAAACCAGTGCCGCAATCGGCTTGGGAGGGGACACTGAGTTCTGTGAGCTCAGGTCACACCATGCAGCGAGGACTGGGAGCCCCTCCCCCAGCTCCTGCAGGAATTCATCCTCAGGGACACCCCAGCCCCATTCCAGCAAGGATAGGGTTCCTTTCCAGGCCTAGGAAGGGTGACCTGCCACTCTTGTAGGCAGACCTGCCTTCTACACCTTCTTCCTGAGTTTGGAAAGTTCCTGCCTCCCTGGTCGGGTTCGACCGGACGATGGGGCCGCGGGGCCTCCCCCGACTCCTGCTGGTGCTCCTGGACTGCTGGGCCTCCGTGAACGCCCAAGCCGGGACCACCCTGGTGGTGACAACGGAGGGCCTCAACTCTACGGAACCAGCCCCGACGACTCCCCGACCTGCCTTGTCTGCTAGGCCCCCGGGTACCCCCAGTGTCCCCGGACCCTCCGCCGGTCCCAGGCCCACCCCGGTCACGGACGGTGGGTACCAAGTGCCGGGTCCAGGGGATCCACAGTGATCCATCCTGGAGGGGGTAGCCCGGGTGAGGGTGTAATAATAATGTTGGTTAATGTTTATTGAACACTTTATTGTGCAAGCATTCCCAAGTGTTTCATAGGGATTCTCTCAATAACTTTTAGAGGCAGATAGTATCCTTGTCCTACAGATGAGAAAACCGAGGCTCAAAGAGCGTAAGTGGGACAATAGTAAATCTTTGAAAGTACTTGCAGTGGTCCTGGACAACATTAATGCTAAAGGTAATAATGAATGAAGTCCTTGCAGCTTTGCAGCCAAAGAAGAAATTAAGTCGACAGTTTCTAGGCAGTTGTGAAAATTAAATGCAGAGGATGCACAGAACCCTAATTCCTGGTGGCCTTTAACTGGGTCCTTCCTCTGAATCAGAGGAGGTTGGGGGTCTGTAATATTAATCGGATGGTTCTTATGGTCAGGCAAGTGATTTAGCTGGTTCTTAAACCTGTCTGTCAGCATCACTGGGAAATTTTTAAAAAAATATATTTTATTGATTTTTTACAGAGAAGAAGGGAGAGGGATAGAGAGTTAGAAACATCGATGAGAGAGAAACATCCATCAGCTGCCTCCTGCACACCCCCCACTGGGGATGTGCCCGCAACCAAGGTACATGCCCTTGACCGGAATCGAACCCAGGACCCCTGAGTCTGCAGGCTGATGCTCAATCCACTGAGCCAAACCGGTCAGGGCAATCACTGGAAAATTTTTGAACAACACAGATGTCTGGGGTTCACAGTCAGCTTACCAAATCGGGGTCTCTGTAGGCAGATAGAGCACAGACAGACAGCTTTCCAGGTGAGCCAGATGACTAGCCACTTTGGGGAAACCCGGGATTGAGGAGTGCTCAACCTGACTAATCTTCACTTCATCTCTCCCAAAGTGCAGTAGCAAAAATCAAGTGGATATTTGTACCACTGGTGCATTGCAGTGGCAGGGGGCAGTCACTACCTGCTGATTGTGACGCTCTGCATCCATTCTCTCCTTTCTGTAGTTGCTGCTTTGTGTGTCTGTGACCTGTCCCCAGCACAGTGTGACGTCAACTGCTGTTGTGATCCTGATTGCAGCTCCGTGGATTTTAGTGTCTTTTCTGATTGCTCAGTTCCAGTTGTCATGTAAGTTTGTGACACATGAAGTTTTGATAAAATTAGACCAAGATTATAAGATTTTGAGAAGACCATGAAAATGCCCCCGTGGCAGAAAAACTCAAGCCTGATTTCCTGAATTTTGCATCCTTCAGAAGCCATGCTGTCCAACCAGTATGTAGAAGAGTATCTATCTCTTATTGCATCCAACCAGATGATAGTGCAGTCAAAAGAGCAGAGTACTTTTTTAAGAGTATAAGGAAATCTGTGTTCAGAGATTGAATTACATTTCACTTTGATTTGTAAACAGATAATGCATCATTTTTGCATTAGTGAATTCCTGTTTTGTGTAGCCTAGTGTGAAAGGTGCAGTTTAATTTTACAGCTTTTGTTTTGGACGTAGTGATAGTAACAATAAACTAAGTAGATGGTCAGGAAAGCTTTGTTTTTTTACCTGATATGCAAATCCCCTAGGAGTCCTCACAGTTCATATTGTATAGGAAAATAATGGAAAACGACATTCCTAGCCTATTACAAGGTAAAAAAGAATCTCTTCTGAGTGATCTGTTTCTCCTAATTCAGATTCCAAAGCTTTTTGAAAAACAGCAGCACTTAAAGAAGTTAATTTATTCAGGATGGGACCAACATATTCAGAGATGGAGTAATTATGTAATTAATTTATAAGAACTTAATTTATAAATTTAATTCTAGTTAGATGGGAAAGGGATATTGTATTAAAATGATTCTAAAACTCATCTGGAAGACTAAACAGATGAGAACAGCCAAGAGGTTACTGAATAGGAATAGCAAAAAAAAAAGAATAGCAAACTCTTACCAATAGATTGAAGAATGAAATACACTAAAAAATTAAAGAATGGCCCTACCTCAGGGGTGAAACTTTTTGTTGACTCGAGGGCCACAATGGGTTCTTTTTTTTTTTTTAATATTTTTTATTGATTTTTTTACAGAGGGGAGGGGAAAGGGATAGAGAGTTAGAAACATCGATCAGCTGCCTCCTGCACACTCCCTACTGGGGATGTGCCCGCAGCGCAACCAAGGTACATGCCCTTGACCGGAATCGAACCCGGGACCCTTGAGTCTGCAGGCCGACGCTCTATCCACTGAGCCAAACCGGTTCGGCCACAATGGGTTCTTAAACTGGACCGGAGGGCCGGAACAAAAGCATGGATGGAGTGTTTGTGTGAACTAATATAAATTCAAAGTAAACATCATTACATAAAAGGGTACGGTCTTTTTTTTTTTTTTCAGTTTTATTCATTTCAAACGGGCCGGATCCGGCCTGCGGGCCGTAGTTTGCCCACGGCTGCCCTAGCTGGTTCAGTGAATAGAGCATCAGCCCGAGGACTGAACGGTCCCAGGTTCAATTCTGGACAAGGGCACATACCATGGTTGCAGGCTCCATTCCTGGTCCTGGCGGTCAGGTTGCAAGTGGCAACCAATCAATGTGACTCACATCTCCCCCCTCCTTTCCACTCTCTCTGAAAAAAAAAAATCAACGGGAAAAATATCCTCAGATGATGATTTGTTACGCGCCAGCACAGCCAAGGGGGCCTGCTCAGGCGCCACTTGTTATGGCCAAAGGTGATCCTGAGTGGGGGAGTGAAAGGATTGAGAAAAGACAGACAAGAGAATGAAAGCTGGGTCTCGGTGGGACGCTGCTCCCTGATGAGGAGACAGCGCCAGCGCCCACAAGCCGTGTCTTTATTTTATAGCAAATGCCACGAGGCAAAGTAGGGGCGTGATCAAGTTGTTTACAGCATTCTCATGAGTTTCAACCCCACTCAACTACATGCACCTGAACTCTATCGCACAAGCATGTGGGGCCACGTGTTCGGACCATAGGTTCAAGCTTACAACTACAGCTGTTGGCTATAATTGTGCTGGGAGGGCCCTGCCCTCCAGCTGGGACTTGCACATAGCAATGAGAGGACCCTGTCCTTTCATTAGTCCGAGGCTTGAACCTGGCCAAAACACTGTAGCCGCGCCCCACAATGATTAACCACAACAAAAAAATCAAATAAAAAAATGAATGAAAAATATAGGTGAACATTTGTTGTGTGTGTGTGTGTGTGTGTGCGCGCGTTTTATTTGAGAGAGGAAGGGAGAGGGAAAGAGATAGAAACAACAATGATAGAGAATCATTGATTGGCTGCCTCCTGCACGCCCCCTACTGGGGATCAAGCCTACAACCTGGGCATGTGCCCTGATGGGGAATTGAACTGTGACCTGGTTTATAGGTCAACACTAAACCAACCATTGAGCCACGCCTGCTGGGCTAGGTGAACATTTGTTAATCTTAGGCTACGGAATGTTTTTAAAGCATAAACCCACAAACTATAAAAGATTGACAATTTCATTATTTTAAAAAATTAGTTATACCTCAATTTTTAAAAAGGAATCATGATTATAAAAACCAATTGAAACTTCTATAATGACAAAAAGACCCTAAAATTGAAAGGTAATTACTGGGAAAAAGTATGTATAACACATGACACTAAAAGGAGATTCTTTAAAATATGGGCTCTCACAAATCAATGAAAAGACAAACATTCTGATACACAAATGGCCAATAGATATGAGTAAGCAACTTAAGGAGGAAATACCAGTGAGCAGTAACCATATGGAAATATGTTTAACCTTGCCAGTAAATTATAAAATTCAAATTAAAACAACTGGATAACGGATTTTTGCCCATGAAATTGGCAAAGGATATTTATAAGTTGGATAATATCCAATCTTGGCAAGATTCCGGGGAAACAGCACTCTTTGCTACAGTGTTGGTGAGGATGCATCTTGCCTTTCTGGAGGGCAATCTGGCAATATGTCTCAATAGCCTTAAATTATGTACCTACCTTTTGACCCAGCAATTCTTCTTCAGGGGATATAGCCTAAGGAAATAATTGGAGACATTCATACAAGGATGTCATTATAGCATCAGAAAGAACCGGGGAAAATTAGAAACAACCTAAACCAACAGTAGAGGATTGGTTAAAAAGAAATTAGGGTATCTTAATAAGTTGGTGTACAATGAAATCATTTAGTATAACATTGCAAAAACATATTTGATGACATAAATATTGGGCAATATATAATAAGTGAGAAAAGGCCTGAGAGCAGTATGTAGAATATGATCCCATTTCTGTTATATCTCTAGCGCCATATCTGTATCTGTGTCAAATTGATTAGGGTTTGTCAAGTCTGGGATTGGTTGAAGACCTGACTATAACTTGTAAGCTCCAAAACTTTCAGATGTCTTCATATTTTCTAATTTTCACAGTACTTTGAAGATGGCTTTATTCTGAAGAAAAGGAATTTTAGGTTCCTTCTGATTACTTATAAAAGTTCTGCAAAATTTTACATAATTGATTCTGTCAGAGTTTGCAGGGTTCATTTACATCAAAATTATACCCTGATCTACATTTCATACTTGACAAGATTTCCTTGAAGGTTATTCTACTTGTCTTAATATTTTTCCTGTTAGAGGAAAATGTTTCAAATGCCAAACATTTTAACACTGAATAAACTAAATAAAAATGGATTCAATTCTAGCATCACACTTTCATAAATATCTTCCATGTAGTTGTTAACATAGTACACAGTACAAGCATCTGACAGTTTTAAAGAATCTTGCTAAGATTGTGTGCACATGCCTTAAAACTTTGTCTTATTATTTTTTTTTTAATTTTCAGGGGTGATAGTCAGTTTTGTAGCCAAAAAGCAGCCATCTATTCGTTGAATTTAACAGCAAACCCGCCCCAGAGGATATTTAAAGTTGTAGACCAGATCAATCCATCTATTTTCTGCATTCATATTACAAACTGTGAGTATTTGATATACTTTGTAAAACTCTGACTTTTTTTTTTCTTTTAAAAGATCTTTTATGGGAAAATGTCCAATCTAGTTAGATTTAAAGCAATCATTCTATGGTTTGGCTAGGGTGTATCTTCTGAGGCCGTTTCCTAGGCAACTGCAAGTAACTTTAGAGACCTGTGGACATGCACATTTTCTTTACAAGCAAAGGAACTGCTTGTATAGTTGACTTTTAAAGTCTCATACTTCATTTTAAAGGTGTTTATGATATGTAGACATGCATAGGAATCTAAATTTATTTAGGCACATGAGAGTTGTTGGTTTTTTTTTTGCTTTATTTCCTACTGGTTTAATGATTGAGAATCAGGTTCAGCTATGGTTTCAATTTCCTTTTTTCTCTTTTATTTTTACTTAGAATATTTGCATGAAAACAGGATCTTTATTTTTATCTGAGCGTTTGGCTCAAATAGGTGACTAGATCCAAAGCACAGGTAAAATGTCAAATGTTAGCGCTATCAAAGATCAGAGACACATTTATGGTTGTACCCAGTTAAGCTTTATCATCTTTTCAGAATGTCTTCATATTTTGGCTTTGTTCCCTTATAAGTGAACACTTAGGGGAATGCTCTGTGATTTGTAACCTGGAGTAGTGACTGGTCCATCACTGTCACATTCTTTGACATAAGAGTGGCCCAGTGAACCTACCAGCCTATTCCCTTCTACCTCTTCCATAAACAGCATGTATTCTCCCGGACTTCAGAGGTGGCTGTGTGAGGGTAGAAATAGGGTCTTTCATTCCCATAGCCATCTGGGATGGAGAAAGTTGTTGATTATTACTGGCTTCTGTTGTGCTATTTATCTGTGGCTTTAGAAACCATTGCTTCTACACTGTTAGAGAAACAGGCCAAGTCTGAAGAGCCTGTTTATTTAGTCAGATTCAAGAAATCTTGGGGGAAGTAGATATGGAGAAAGATACTTTATTTTTTTCACGTGTCTTATTGCTATTAAGACTTTCAAAATTTTATATATGCTGTATATAAAATATATATGTATTTTATACTGATTTAAAATATTTTTTCTAAAAACAGATAAACCTGCATTATCCTTTATTGATCCAGAAGTGCCTGATGAAAACAATTTTGATAAATTGATGAAAACATTCCATGGTTTTTCATTGAATGCAGAATCAGATGTTTCTTTAACAGACAAACCAGATGTTCCAAATACTACTAAATATGAGGTGAGCCGAGAACCTAAGTCTATTCATCCTGTTGCAAATATCCTGTCCTTGTAAGTTATTTTTTCAATATGTTCCCAGTAAAATCAGCTACCTGAGACATATAATTCATATAATACACACAACAAATTAATGTTTGTGCCTATAAATCAAAAATCATGAAAATTAAAGTTGAGTAGTTGAATTCTAACATAGGAATTATTTTTTATTTTATTTATTTATTTTTTAATCCTCACCCGAGGACATGTCCATTGATTTGAGAGAGAGAGAGAGACAGATACAGAGAGAGACAGAGACAGGGAAACATCAGGTGAGAGAGAAACATCTTTCAGTTGCACCGGGGATCGGACCTGTAACCTAGGCACGAGAGAGAGAGAGAGACAGAGACAGACAGAGACAGAGATAGAGAAACATCAAGTGAGAGAAACATCTTTCAGTTGCACCGGGGATCAGACCTGTAACCTAGGCATGTGCCCTGACTAGGAATCAAACCCAAGACCTTTTGGTACATGGGGTGACACTCTAATCAACTGAGCCACACCAGCTGGGGCTCTAACATAGGGCTTAAAGTCATTTATTCTGTGGTAAGCTTGCATTTATCTCTGCAGAATTTGTTCTTTTCCACCTCAAGAAATGTAGCAAGGTGCTGGAGGCATGCTGCTGGAACAGAGGGGATTGGTGGGATGCCTAATCTTCTCAAAGTTGTATTTAGCTGTATAGACTTGGGGATGATGTGTGCTATTTTATATCTGTTCCTTAGTAAACCTTTCAATGTGATTTAAATAAGTATTGCTATCCTATATAATAAAAGGCTAATATGCAAATGGACCGAATGGCGGAACAACCGGTTGCTATGACGTGCACTGATGACCAGGGGGCAGACGCTCAATGCAGGAACTGCCCCCTGGTGGTCAGTGCGCTACCACGGGGAGCGCCACGCAGCCAGAAGCCGGGCTCACGGCTGGCGAGCGCAGCGGCGGTGGTGGAAACACCCTCCCCCCGCCCCAGTGCACAAATTTCGTGCACCGGGCCTCTAGTTGAAAAATAATTATCTCTCTCACCCCTGTCCCTGGCCACCATGTTCTTGTCTGTAGAGGCAGACACCTATGTCAGCTTCTTATATAACCTTCCAGAGGAATTCCTTAATAAAAAGGCCTGCAATATATAGTAACATGGATACAAAGAAACATGCATCCTTAAAAGAAATGGATGGGGCAGCTACATGTAAGCTCCATTCAGGCAAGGACCATATCTGTTTTTTGCTCACCACTGTGTTCCTAATGTCTGAAATGCTGCTTGGCACACAGTAGGTGTCCAATAAGTGTTGAATGAATAACTTAATAACTGTTGGTGGTTCTCTTTGCAGTATGGGGTTCTTCTGCAGACTTCAGATTCATTTTTGAGATTTCCTTCCCCCCTTGCGTCATCTCTGTGCACTGATAATAACCCTGCAGGTAAGAGAGCGGGCAGTTTTCTTTGTCCTTAAAACAGACTTAGCTTATTTTAAATTTATAGTAATCATAATTAAACAGGCTTCATGACTAGAAGCAGAGTCTTAGAGTTGAAAGAAGCCTCAAAGATTATGTCGTTCGGTGCCAGAATCTTTCCTGCCACATGCATTCACTGCTTGAGTGCTTGGAGGATGGGGACTCCCAACCTGAACCAGCCCACTGAGTTGTTTAACACCTCCATCTGTGGGAAAGTTCTCTCTTCACCAGAGCTAAAGTTTGTCAGTAGCTGATGTTCATTAAGCACTCACTGTGTGCTGGGTATGATGCTCAGTGCCTCTGGGGTAGAGTTATTGTCATTAGATGAGGAACCTGAGAAACATTCAGTTTCTTGCTCAGGTTCACCTAGGTGGAGGGGGGCGGGCAGGGATGTAGCCCACACAACTGCTTCCCATGGGCCCTGCTGCTCCTTTTAGGAGCTTCCCAGAACTGTGGAGCAATCGTCTTGGCAGTGGGAGGCAGCAAGCCTGGCTCTCCCGTCCTTATGCCAGCCTCACTAGGAAGAAGCCAGCCAAGAATGGGTGATAGCTTGTGGCTTATTGAAACATCATTTGATACGCGAAGGAAAATGTATTCTGTTGACCAGCGTGAATTAAAACCGAACTGAGAGCATTTCCATCTAATGGACTTGCAAAGCTTAAGAATGTAGGGCTTGTGGGGAAATAGGCACTCATCTACAGAGCTGGTGGGACTATTTATTGGTACAGCCTCTGTGAAGAGCAGTTTAGCAGTATGTATTAAAGTTGCAAATGAATATGCCCTTTGACCCTGCTGTTCTTCTAGGAGTTGGTCCTACAGAAACTCTGGCTCACATGCAAAATAATAGATTGTAGCATTGTTTGCGACAGAAAGCTTGAGACAACTTAAGCATCTGTCATGGGGAACTGGCTGAGTGAATTATGGCATATCTATAGTAGGATACTAATTATTCCTAAAAAAAAAGGGAGGAGGATGAGACAGGCTGAACTCCAAGATTGTTCAGTGAAAAAAACAAAGGGCAGGAGATATATATTGTGCATTTGTTTCTAAAAGGGGAAAGAAATAGTAAAAATATATTTACTTTTAAACATTTTTATTTGCATAGAATATTTTCAGAAAGATACACAAGAAACTTCATGCCGAGTGTCTTTGGGGGCTGGGTAACCAGGGCCCCAAGGGAGACCTCTCAATACTTTTTGTGATCTTTAATTTGGAATCATGTGAATGTGTTGCCTATTTGAAAAATGAATTTTAAGCCCCCTTTTAAACATGTCGTATATCTGTATCAATGTATTTTGTAATTTTACTTCTACTACAATTTTATAGCTACCATTGGACAGTTGAAATTTTCTTTTTTAATTTTTTCCCCTTGGGAACGTTATGATTTCCAGCATTTCTGATGAATCAAGCTGTTAAGTGCACCAGAAGGATAAACTTGGAGCAGTGCGAAGAAATGGAAGCTCTGCGCATGGCTCATTACAGCAGCCCTAACATTTTGAGGGTAAGAATTATTTTGAAGTGAAGCTGATTCGTTAGGTTTATTTTCTGTTCTTGGTACCCTTTTAAAATATGACAAATATAGAATAATTTAAGTACATGATTGACACTCAAATTTTAAAATGTCTCCAGTTCTTTGGTATACTGATACTGAACATACTGGGAAAAAATCACTTAAAATAATTTCTATTTTTATCTAGCTAGCTTATATTTTGCTTTTATTCATTTTTTCTTTTTTCTTTCACTCATTTTGATGGTAACCAATAATGTCTGTTTCCTGAATTAAAAAAATAATAACCAAAAACTTTACCAATGATAAAAGCATCTTAATGTCTGTGACAGAAATAATCATATTAGCACCAAGTAGAGATCTCTCTGAGAAACAGACCAGAAAAGGATAGAAAATCCACTTTCTGGCTGGCAGATGAAATAAGCAACCAGGGAAGGGCAGGAAATAGGATTGCTGGGAGAGGGAAAGAGGCCACAGTGGTGAAGAGGCCCCTTCCTCCTGGTCGCAGGGACCTGAGCCTGACCTGAATAAATGAGAGACGCCACCGGCCCATTTGGTGGATGACATGGAGGGCTGCAGGGGAGAAAATGTTTTTTAATGTTTAAAAAACATGGGATTATTGTGAAATCCCAGATCTCCTGATTTTCTTTTTTGGGAGGTAGTGGAAGAGTGGTCCATGGCATCAGTATCCATCTGGGCTTCAATTTTCAGAGTCAAGTTTAACCTTTTTTCTCCCCTCCCTTCTCATGTCAGCCATCTAGGCCTGCGAATTCTTCCAGCGAGTTGGCCTTCTCAGTTTTCTGGAAGTATTCCCTCTGGCATGCAGGCACAGGTCTCTTTCAGCACAGGCCTCCCCAAAATGGTCTACTCATCTCCCTCCCTGAAGCTCCAGTGGCCTAAAAGGGTGGGTGTCCTGCGATTATGGAAGGGAGGCTGAGGCCTTCAGGAAGAGTGCTCTGGCTGTGTAGAGGAGGCAGGGGTGTGGCCTTGAGGGGGCTTGGGCTAGAGGCAGGAAGACCACTTAGGAGGCTGTGAAGGATGCTGACCTTCAGCGAGCACAGTGCAGTGAGAGTGACTGGCAGGTGGGAGCTATGTCTTCCTCACGGGGCTGTGTCACTGGTGACCGCATGGAAAATACCGAGTGATGACCCTGAAGCAGAGAGGCTTCCTAAGACTGGCTCTGTTGGGTTGGTCTATTAAGCTTCCATTTTGGAGGAGGTGAATATCAAAGGAAAACGTAAGGTTACCTCTTTGATTATGACATAGATACTAAAAGATATAGCTGGCAGGTCTTGATTAAGGATATTCTGTTTTCCTCTTTGTGAAGTCTTAAATAAGATGAATATGCCCTTTGACCCCCAGTCTGAAAAAAAAAAAGCAATAAAAATGATTTTTGTTGTTGTTGTATTTAACAAAATTTGTTGTTTCTTTCTGTCTAGGTACCTAATTCAAAAACAAAGGTAAGAGTATTTCTTAATGGAAAGTTTATTATACACTGTCTTATTTCTGAGCCTTTGGAAATGATTATACTTATGATTAGAAAAGTACCTTACTGCCAAGAACAAAAACACGTCTCAAAAAGCAAGCAGAGCCCTAGCCAGTTTGGCTCAGTGGATAGAGCGTTGGCCTGTGGAACGAAGGGACCCCGGGTTCAATTCCAGTCAAGGGCATGTACCTTGGTTGCAGGCTCCTCCCCAGCCTGGCCCCTGGGCGGGATGTGTGCAGGAGGCAACCAATCGATGTGTTTCTCTCACATTGATGTTTCTCTCTGTCTTTCCCTCTCTCGTCCACTCTCACTAAAAATCAATGGAAAAATATCCTCAGGTGAGGGTTAACAAAAAACAAAACAAAAACAAGCAGAAATGAAATAGGGAAACTTCATGGATGACCCTTTTGTAGTCATATGTTGGTGTGATCGGCCTCTGTGCTTTCTGGCCTCCCTTGATACCTCCTTGGTCTCTTGTCAGGAGAGCGGGCTAGCCCCCAGGATGCTGTCTGTCCAGTGAGGAGAGGAGGATAGAGACATTTTCCCCAGTGAGAGGTGAGCATCCCAGTGTAGCTTCACATTTAGTTGTGGGCAGGTTGTTCCAAGCCTATCCGCCCCCAGCCCAGGGGCCCTGTCAGGCTGTGGTGAGGAGGCCAGTGTCTCTGAAGGTATGTCAGGAGGAGGAACGTGGCTCTACCTCTTATTCTTGGGTCTGTGAATGCAGGCGATGGCCTTGCCATAGTATCCCAAAGCCTGTGTGGTTAGTCAGCCTTATTCAAAAGTCAGCCCTGCCATGACTTTCTCATATAACATGCCCCTCACACCCCCAGTTGTCAAGCGGGCGATAAGCCTCAATGCGCATGAGCTGCTTTGTGCAGCGTCTGTCACACAGGAAGCACTTGGGACAACGATCCTACTCCCACTGATGTCATTAAGGCTCTGGACACAAATGTGTTTGAGGTCGACATTTGAAAGGAAGTAGTCATGTGATTTGAACTTCACACGACTGTGTGTGGGCCTGGATTTCCTCTTCTGTGAAGGGGGTTTTCAAACTTGTTTTAGTTATAGAGCTTCTTCAAATGAAATCTCAAACAGAACTCTGCCTAGTGTGTAAGATGGATTGAACCCAAAGCCCCTGGTTGGAATAAGGGTGGTGTCAGAAGCTCTCCACCTGCCCAGCCTCCATCTCTCTGCTGGTTTGGCCCCTTTGAGGAACCCAGAGCTCCCAGGAACCCAGTTTGAAAGTCACTGGACTAGCTCTCAAATACCTCTAGTCACTAAAAAGTGCTTTGAACCTACCATTCAAAGCTTGAACTGTCTGTGGGGCAGTGGCCCTGTCTGCGATATATCCTTAGTACTAGGGCGGTGCCTAGTATGTGTTGGGTTATATGTTAAGTGAATGAATGACTAGGGGATTGGCTCAATCAAGTAGGGAAGATCCTTTATGAGGAATAATGGGATGTTACTGAAAGGCACGAAGTGTGTGCCAAGCATTGTTCCAAGTGCTACACATGTCTGAAGTCCTTTGGTCATCTCAGCAATCCTAGGAAGTAGGTCCTGTTATTGTGCCCCTCTGTCACGTGATTCACAGATGAATTACTTGCCCAAGGCTATGCAGCAGGGAAGTGGCAGAGCCAGGACAGGAATCCAGGCTGTCTGGCCACAGAGACCATGACACTGGACTAGCTCTTCTGTGTACCAGGCCTTGAGTTACAGGCTTCACGCACATTCTCTCTGCATCCTGTGGCCACACAGGAAGTGGAAGGCTGGGACTTCCAACTCAGATTTGTGTGGCGTTAGAGTTTGTGCTCTGAAAGACAAGCGTATCAACTAATATCAGAGGTTTCTTCATTTACAATTTTTACTTACTGATTTGAGAGAGAGAGAGATTAATTTGTTGTTCCACTTAGTTATGCATTCATTGGTTGTTTCTTGTATGTGCCCTCACCAGGATTGAACTCACAACCTTGGCATATCCAGATGATGCTCTAACCAACAGCTACCCAGCCAGGGCCTAAGGTTTTTTCCTAAAAGTGACTTCCAAGGTCTGTTAGAGAATCAGGAATATAAAAATGGGATCCAGTCTCCCCATTGAGTGAAGCCCCGATGACAGCCTGGAATCATTGTCAGTATCGGTTGAACCATCAGTGAAAGGTTAAGTTATGGCTCCATAGTGTTATTAAGTACTAGAGGCCTGATGCACGAAATTTGTGCCAGAGTAGGCCTTCCTTCCCTTGATTGCCGGCACCAGCTTCCCTCTGGCACCCAGGACCTGGGCTTCCCTTGCAGCCCTGGCTTCGTCTGGAAGGTTATCCGGCCTAATTAGCATATTACGCTTTTATTATTATAGATGCTTTGGTTCTTTAGTTTGGGATGGGAGATGATTGAGTGGGATATGCAGGAGACCAGAACAGCCCTGCCATTGTCATTCTTGTGGCTGTTCCCGTGGATGCTGGTAGATGAGTCTGTTCTTCCCATTGGTCTTTCCAAAGCTTGTTTAAACTGGACCGTTTGGCCCTAGCTGGTTTTACTCAGTGGATAGAGTGTCAGCCTCTGGACTGAAGGGTCCCAGGTTCGATTCCGGTCAAAGGCATGTGCCGGTTTGCAGGCTCGATCCCCAGTAGGGGGCATGCAAGAGGCAGCCAATCAGTGATTCTCTCTCATTATTGATGTTTCTATCTCTTCCTCTCCCTTCCTCTCTGAAATCAATAAAAATATATTTAAAAAAATAAAACCTAGACCGTTTGGTTTCTGCCAGCCACACCCACATACTACAGGGTGTGCCTGGGACTGTTGGAGAATGTGCATGTGTGCGTACAGAGTGAGGGCATTTATCCATGGGAGCTGAGTTTTGGAGGTGATAACATACACATGCATTTGATGGTGTGATGAGAGTTTTTTGTGGTTGTGTTTGAGACATAATTCACCTCCATAAAACTCACCATTTAAAAGTGTACAAGTTAGTGGTTTGGGGTATGTTCACAAGGTAGTGCAGCCATCACCATTATCACCAGGACATTCTTACTGCTCCAGGAATAAACCCTGTGCTTATTAGCAGCCACTCTTCATTCTTCCCCAACCCCCTCTCTCTGCCCAGCAACCACTAATATATTTTCTGTTTCTGTGGATTTGCCTATTCTGGACATTTCACGTAAAAGGAATCACACAGTATGTGACCTTTTGTGTCTGGCTTCTATTGTTTAGCACCATGTGCTTAAGGTTCATGTATGTTGTGGCAGGTGTCAGTCCCTTATTCCTTTTCATAGATGAATAATATTCTTTTGTATGAATATACCACATTTTATTTATCCAGTCATCAGTTGATATACCTGTGGGTTGTTTTCAGTTTGTGGCTATTATAAATGCTGCTGTGAACATTTGTACACACGTGTGAGTGTGTGAGCATATGTTTTCAGAGGTAACCACAAGTAAAGTTTTGGCTATATCCTTAAGTATTTTCTCTGTGAACGTATATATGTACTTACATATAAATATCCACATTTTCGCAAATGTGGAATTACACAGCATGCCTGTTGTTCTATAGCACGCTTTTCCCTACTTGGCAGTGTGTCAGTGGAGGTTCGTTTCAAGTGTTTTGTTATTTTAACCCGTTCACTTCTGTTGTAGTGTCTTCGGTAATCCAGGGCTTCTTTATTTTGCAGGTCCCTATCACTGTCCAGTCCACCGTCATTCAGTCTCTAAATAAAACGCTCACCCGGCTGGCAGACACGCACGTATTGGAGCCGGTTCTTGTCGAAGAGGCTGGGGCTGTTAAAGTCTGCACCAGGGTCGTTCTAGAGGTAGGGGCCCAGTGGCTTTGAAAGCTCCATCAGTTTGTGGCAGACTCAAACTGCATGGTCTCCAGGGGTTCAACTGGATGTCCTTCAAAAGGGGCTCTGGCCCACACTGTGGTATTGCTTTTCTTGATGTGGCCTCCTGCTTGCCTTTCTGCTGTTCCCTTAGAGCAGTGGTTGGCAAACTGCGGCTCACGAGCCACATGCGGCTCTTTGGCCCCTTGAGTGTGGCTCTTCCTAAGCCTTAGGAGTACCCTAATTAAGTTAATAATAATGTACCTACCTATATAGTTTAAGTTTAAAAAATTTGGCTCTCAAAAGAAATTTCAATTGTTGTACTGTTGATATTTGGCTCTGTTGACGAATGAGTTTGCCGACCATTGCCTTAGAGGATACCTCTTTGTCTCTGAAGTAATCACGTGTGCTTTTTGTCCATAAACCCAGTGACTTACAAGGATACATAAAAGTTTGTTGTTGTTGCCACTGTTTTTTTTGTTTTGTTTTTTTTGTTTTTATATATATTTTTTATTGATTTTTTACAGAGAGGAAAGGAGAGAGATAGAGAGTCAGAAACATCGATGAGAGAGAAACATCGATCAGCTGCCTCCTGCACATCTCCTACTGGGGATGTGCCCGCAACCTAGGTACATGCCCTTGACCGGAATCGAACCCGGGACCTTTCAGTCCGCAGGCCGACGCTCTATTCACTGAGCTAAACCGGTTTCGGCCACTGTTTTGTTTTAATGTTTCCACTGCAGAGAGAGACTGATTATATTCTGCCCAGGCCAGCTGATGTGGAACTTACTAATCGGGTACAGAGAGGCTCAAATGACCCTGTCAGCAGGGGTGATGCCGAAATAACACCTCCCCTACCTGATTGGACAGGAGAGAAAAGCTTCAAGTGGAGAAATGGGAAAGCATTAGCCTCCTCTCTATAGTTTATTTGAGTTATTAATACAGCTACAGAAATGTCATGGGAACAGGTGTATTTGGAGTGTTGTTTTCGTTTTTAGGTAAAGTACAGTCTCACATACACGGAAGCAGGTGAAGTAACAAAAGCCGATCTCTCTCTCCTTCTGGGGACAGTGAGCGACGCAGAGCTTCCGCTCCAGCAAAAGTTTGAAATTCATTTTGTTCAGGTAAGTTTGATCCATTTTGTACAAGTAGCTCATTGCCAAGTGAAAAGAAACCCTAACTTGTCAGTGAAAACCATAATCTCAGTTTAGAACTATTGCCACACCTAACCCCTTGCACTGAACGCAGGCTTGCACATAGCATTGGGTTTGTAATGCAGCAGGCCGCGGCCTGCATCCTTTCCCCCGGGACCGAGTCCTTGCATGCAAGCCTGCCCTTTACAGCATGATGTACTCCTACACTCAGCAGATACATTTATAGTTCTGAGTAGGGGAGAAATTATTTTATTGGTCCGGATTTTATTCTGAAAAGCATTTCATTTCCCCCCTGCCACTTCCTTGTTAAAGTGAGAATTACGTGGGGGCTTTTCTGCATTGTCTTTCAGCAAAATACAAAGCCAGTTCCTCTCAGTGGAAACCCTGGTTATGTTGTGGGCCTCCCGCTGGCTGCTGGATTTCAGCCTCACAAAGGATATCCTTTTGGTTCCGTGGAGAAGGTTGATTTCCCTGTCCACGTGCGGGAGCCACGCTTCCCTTTATCGCTGAGGGGCCTGTGGGCTGGAGGGGCTGGTCTCGGCCACAGGCTTCCCTGGTGGCTCTGGAGGGGCTGGTCGGGCCACACAGCACGTGGGGCTCCTTGGAGACTAGAGGTTAGGGGTGGAACAGCACGACCCAGGACAAGGTCAGTGTTTATAATGAAAGTCTTAACCCCGAAAAGCTGACAGACATGTAGATGTATTTTTTTTTTAATATATTTTATTGATTTTTTTACAGAGAGGAAGGGAGAGAGATAGAGAGTTAGAAACATCGATCAGCTGCCTCCTGCACACCTCCCACTGGGGATGTGCCTGCAACCAAGGTATATGCCCTTGACCGGAATCGAACCTGGGACCTTTCAGTCCCCAAGCTGACACTTTATCTACTGAGCCAAACCGGTCAGGCCATGTACATGTATTTAATTTCACAGAGATTCAAACAAATTTAGTGATTTTGAAAACTTCGAATTAATTTTGAAGGGCCAGTTTCTGAAGATTTTTTTTCTTCTGAGGATCCAATCAAGGAAAATAGTTATAACTGTTTTACCATCTCCTGGGAAATAGCTGTCATATCCCCAGAGGCCAGAGAGGTATTTGGGTCTCCCTCATGTCTCAGTCACACGTGTGCCCCTGTTTCCTGAGAACCAGACGCTGTCATACTGGGTGGTTACCCCTTAACTCTCCATGAAAGTCTGGGATTATTCAGACCATGAATAGATATGGACAATTTACTATTCTTCGTAGCACAGCTGAGCAAGACTGCTTGGCAGTAGAGGGGATTCGGACCCCAGTATTATTTGGTTACAATATGCAATCTGGCTGTAAACTAAGGTAAGGGAGTGACTTTTTTTCTGTTGGAACTTGCATGTGTTGATCAGAAAATAAAACATCCCGCTCCCCCCCCCCTTTTCAATCAGACATTTGCCTCAGCTGATGGGAGTGCCTGTGAAAGCTACAATGTACCTTATGATTATTAATAGGTAGTAGCAATAGTGAGAATACATTATAATATAGTTTTTTTATTTTAATTCTCAGAACCATAAGCCATGTGTCATGGTTCAAAGTAAAACTATTACAACCATTTTTAAAATCAAATAGAGTGGAGTAAAAACCTCAAGGCTTTGTATGTTTTGTTTTTAAGGTTGCATAGCACTTGAGTTCACAGCAAAAATACTTCCCCTAGAAGTCCTTGTTATAGGTCTGCATTTTAATATCCTGCACACAACATAGCAAGCCCAGTGAGAGGAAGCCTGAGTGTGCTCTGCTTTTAATTTACCTTTTTATTATCAAACATGCACCTACTGTAAAATGTCAAATGGCTCTGCATGGCTTAGTCTAAAATAGCAGTTCTTACCCTCACCTGCCCCACCCCAGAGGTAGTAACTCTTATAGCTGATTTTTTGGAAATTTACCTTCAAATCTTTAAATGGCCTGCATGTAACGCTATTTCTTGATATTTTAGTTTTATAGATTATTTCTTGAGTTCCCACTATGGAAGATGAAAATCTGGCTCTATTCCCTTTCACCCCCTACCCCACCATCCACTCCCTTCTGACCCTGTAACTCCCCAGGGTAATTATGTCATTATTTTGGTTAGACCAGTATGCGCCATTTACATTTTTACAGTATTAGTTTTGTTTTTTTTGTTGTTAATCCTCACTGAGGATATTTTTTCCATTCATTTTTAGAGAGAGAGTTGGGGCGGGGGGAAATAGAGGGAAACATCATTTGGTTGCCTCCTGCACATGCCCTGGGGCCATGGAACAAACCTACAACCCAGGTAGGTGCCTTTGACCGGGAATTGAACCTGTGACGGCGCTCTAACCACTAAGCTCCCTGACCAGAGCTTACGTTATTAGTTCTGATCATTTTAGACCAGCATTTGTGAAAGGGGGGTTCAGAATACATTTCCACAAGATGTCAGTAGGGGTAGGTCTATGATTCAATATGTTTGGGAAATACCAATTAAAGTTAAAAACATGTTCCTACTGTAGGACTTCTCAGAGCCTTTAATATGCCAGTGTACTTCAGGAGGGACATGGGTATGCAATAGTTCTCAAACTTTTGGCCATGGAACCTTTCTTGTACAGAGCCTCTTGATGGAACACAGTTTGAGAAACATTGTTTTGTATGCATCTCCTTGGCCAACGACTATTTCTCAAAGTTAGAAACACATTGGCTTCTTTCAAACAATCCCCTTTTGGAGAGAAAATAAACCAGAGAGAGCATGTGTGTTGTTGAGCCTGTGAAAAATGCTGGTGTGAACAACAGCCTCATTTGATTGACTTCTTTTTCCTTCTCCAAAGACTGACCAGCACTATCACGTGTCCACTTGTCGTGGAGAAGGTGAAGAGCCTGCTGAAGGGTCAGGGCTTCCCAGATTATGTGGCCTCTTTTGGAAATTCTCAGGCCCAGGATGTGCTGGACTGGGTGCCTGTCCACTTCATCACCCAGGCACCCCACACGAAGGTACAGGGGGAGACGTTGAAGGCCACGTAATGGCAATCTCTCTTTCTTCCACTGCCCCTCCACCCCGTAGGAGGTAGATGGCTCTGGGCTGGAGCCTGGGCTTTATCATCAGATGGGCCCGGACCTTGAATACTGATTTTTGTCCTTGTTAACACTGCTGTCACTGGCCATTGATTTTGTGGGGTTGGGCCCTTTCCTGTCTGTGCAGTGGGAATGATGGCTATAGACCAACCTCATAGGGATTGTTGAGTTACTGAGGTGATTAATATTCATGGTGCCTAGTGGTTACTCCATAACCGGGAACCTGACCATTCCTACTGTCATTGTTGGGGTTACATGAGGCCTCTAGGCACTGGATATGAGACGAGTGTGAGGACTGTCTCAGGGAGATTGAGACATCCTCTCATCCACAGAGCTGTTCCCTGGTCTATAAAGGCGGCCCACATGAGAGCTTTCAATTCAAAAGTTCCCAAGAGTTTAATGGAATTTGACATCCTATAAATGGGTTCCTGATCACATGTGATTCTTCTGCCCACCTTTTCCTTTTGTCTCAGCAGTCAGTGTGGGCTGGCCCCCATGCCTGAAGGTGTGCTCTCCATCTTATCCTTTAATTGCCCAGCTTTTTCTTGTCACAGTTTCTTCAGGCCTTTCATTATCTGCTTAGCATATTTATAGCATGGGGACAGGGGGGTGAGGACGCCTCCCCAGCTCGGATCCCGCCCTTCCTACCAGAGACGGGTGATTGCTCAGTCCCTGCTGTTCAGCTGCTAAGTCTTGGCTCAGCGCTGCTGCCTCAGTGAACCAGGCAGATTGCTTCTGGCTTCTTGGAGATGGGTTAAGACGTCCAGTTATTACTTCCCCCTCAGAAGGGAAAACGTTGGGAGGAGACGCAGCAGCGAGGACATTAGCACTGCCAGGGTCTGTGCTGGTCCAGGGAGCTCAGGGCCTGGGGTGGGTTTTGGGCCAACCTTTCAGGAAACCCAGGTAGAAGCAGACATGAGAGCATCTGCTAAGCTCAGTTATACCAGCTGCTTGTTGCATCTTCTCCTAATAATAGGATATTCAAGGATCTCTCAGCCTACAAATTGCTTCAAAGGCAGTTCCAAGCTAAGGATCCCACCAGTGCCTTTTTGGCAGGCACAAATTTAGCAGGCCTGCTAGCTTCTCATGCCTTGAAGAGATGTGTTTTTAAAAACTTGTTATTGTGGAAAATTTCAAACATACACAAAAATAGAATAATACAACGGAATCACTTCTAACCATCATGCAGCTTCAACAGTTATCACAGTTGCCAACTATAGAGGTCTAGACTCTAGAGGCAGGAAAAAGATCGGGAAGGCCCACCAACCATTTTCCCCCTGGGGCTGCCCAAACAGAGGCCCTGGGGCAGAGGCCTCAGGCCCAGCTCCCACAGCATCCAGTCTGAACTGGCAGCTCCATGGAGGCGCTCGGTTCCTGTGGAGAGTTGGCAGTATCTTTGACAACTCAGACTCTGCCTATAAACCCAGTGTAACACCTTAATTGCCAATTGATGAAATTAGATAAATGAAAAGAAGGCACTTACATTTCTTTTAAGTGTATTTTAACATGATATGCAATTGGGTTTAATTTGTCTGATAATAATACCATCCTCTCTTTCTCCTCCCCACCCAATGCCAGTTTCTCTCCTCAAGTATCTTGGAGGTAGCTGTAAACAGGTAGAGGAAGTTAGAGCAGGCAAGGCCCTGAAGGTTCTACAGACATGCACTGGGCTTACAACTCCCAGGTGATGCTGGCCTCTTTAGAAATCAGAGGAATTGGAAGGAATGGAAAAATTGTGCTTTAGGTGTTAAAATGTTTTTGGAGCATTGAGTACTTTAAAATATGTGCTTTCTCTAAGCGGTTTTTATCTGAACTTTGAGAGTCTATTCATTCTCTTGTTCAGAACATTTTGTAATATGTGAAACATTTTATAATTAAAACTCTGAACTGCAGATTAAGTTTGACTTGCAGTTGGCGTAATAGTCAAACTGATTAACAGCATTTTGTTTTGTAGGATGTCTGCCAGCTCCCGCTGGCTTTGGTTATAGAAGTGAAGTGGACTAAGTACGGATCCTTACTGAACCCACAGGCTAAAATAGTCAACGTAACTGCAAATCTAATTTCATCCTCATATCCTAAGGTAGGCCTAACTTTAGTTTCAAGGTATAGGTTAAGACCCAAGTCCAGACAAAACTCAAGTGTGATAGTAAAATTTATTATTTTGTGAAAAAGATTATTAAAATGGAAACAATCTGGATTATTTTTTTAAAATATATTTTTATTGATTTCAGAGAGGAAGGGAGAGAGATAGAAACATCAATGATGAGAGAGAATCATTGATCGGCTGCCTCCTGCATGACCCCTACTAGGGATTGAACCCGCAACCCAGGCATGTGCCCTTGACTGGAATCAAACCCGAGAGCCTTCTGTCTGCAGGCCGACACTCTATCCACTGAGCCAAACCAGCTAGGGCAACAATCTGGATTCTTAAAACATTGTAGCAGTCTTTTTCTTTCACTTAGCCAGTGGTTCTCAACCTTCCTAATGCCGCGACCCTTTAATACAGTTCCTCATGTTGTGGTGACCCCCACCCATAAAATTATTTTCATTGCTACTTCATAACTGTAATTTTGCTACTGTTACGAATCGTAATGCAAATATCTGATATGCTATATGTGTTTTCCGATGGTCGCGACCCACAGGTTGAGAACTGCTGATTAGACTCTAAGTCTTAGAGGAAAAACCTCCACTGACAAGGGTTTTATTCACAGTAGCGCGCTTGTTTAGATTTGATCTTTAAAATTCTCATGAAAATTGAGTTGTGATTGACATTGATGTGTTGGGACAAGCTGGGTAAAAATTATTTCTCTCATCCAAGTTAATGGCTGATTAGCCCTCCACATACCTATCAGATTTTTGAACGGACCAACAATGGTCGGTGAGGAAGAGAATGAAAGATGTCCTCCTGTCTTTGTTATCCTGGTAACACACGGCGGCAAGGCTTACATCACCCTGGCTTTTTATTACAGACCAACTCAGGAAAAGAAAGGACGATTCTTATTTCCACTGCGGTTACTTTCGTGGATGTGTCTGCTCCTGCAGTGGCAGGCTTCAGAGCTCGGCCAACCATCAATGCCAAGCTGCCCTTCAATTTCTTCTTCCCATTTGTTTGACGTAAGTCATTAAAGAAAGGAAGCTACACCTCTAGAATAGAGTGGCTGTGGGGCCCCTCAGCAACATCTCATTTTATTACACTTCCAGACCAGTACACCTCCCCTCCCCACTCATTTCCCTCCTTTTGGAAATTTTATTCTACTTGGTTTGACTTTAAAATGGGGCACTATCTGATCTTGGTAATTTCCAAAACTCTCAACACACAGATCATATGTGGAAACCAAATTGCACCTTTGGGAAGACGGTAGAGAGAACAGACTTTGAAGTAGCAAAGGCATTGAGGGCTTATCCAGTTCACTCACCTCCTGCTTTGATGTGAGTTGTTGTTAAAATAATCATTGTTTTTAGTTCAGGTTTTCTTTCAAGTCCCATTGAAATGAGTACAAAAATAGCGAACTATTGTATAAGCTCATGCAGATAGAATACAAGGCCTCAGGAGGGGATCTTCCCCCAAATGTCATGTTAATTAGAGTGGAGTCTTGGGTCCAATCGACATTTCTGTACCAGGCACTGTCGCTAGCTAGCTCTCCAACTGGTGGGCTGGTGTGGAATGCCACAGAGCAGTTCCAAGCAGTTGAAGCTGGAAAGAATATAGTAGGAGGGTCCGGGGGAAGGAGAGAGCTTATGTTATACATTAATTGTACAGTAATTGAGAAAAATGTCAGGTGGCAGAACGAGGTGGAGCCAGCTAGCAGCTGGGTGATGCAGCTGGGTGATGCGGAGGAGGGGGTGGGAACCCGAGGACAGCCTCCTTGGGGAACTGCCCTACAACAAGCTGTTCAGAACAGCTTGGAAATAGAAAAGGCCTTTCCAGAAGGGCTGGTCGCTAGGTAGCTTCCTTTTTTTTTCTTTTGTCTTTCAGAGCGCTCATATGAAAGAATGCCTCAGTATTCACGTAGAACGTGAAAACTACATTTGATGAGATTAAATGTTATGTACAACTAGTGACTGTCCAGCTTTGTTGTACATTTTTAAGCAAGAGTCAAGTGTTCAACATGAGAAACAGCTTATGATACATTTGTGATACAGTGCAGGTGGGAATGGGATGGGAAGCCCTCGGTCACACCGAGGAAGAGATAGAGCCTTCCGGAAGACTGTCCCTCCAGAATCCAGGCTGGGTAGGAGGCAAAGACATCAGACCAGCCCTGTCCCGCAGATGCCCCACGCGTCTCATTCACAGCCACAGCCCGTGAGGCGGTGTCTCGAGTGGAGCAGGGATGCCTCTAGTTCACCTCCCCCAGGAGTCCGTGCTGTCTCAGTAGCTTGTTAAGTCTTTCAATTTCTTGTTCCTGTTATTACAAAAGCAGAGAAATAACTGAATTTACCTCTGAGCCTCACCAGGGATGTGACCATCATTCCGTGAGCCCTGGTACGAGGACAGGCCATGAAGCTTGTGGAGTCAGTCCGCTGAAGGCGACTGCCACAGTCAGATGGGGTCCAGTGACAAGAGGAGGGACGCCCAGCCTAGCTCTGGGAAGGAGGCAAGGACAGGGAAGACTTGGCCAGGGGGAGGGGTGCTCCTGGCTCAAGGCCCACAGGAGCGAAGGCCTGGCGTGAGAAGCACTGTGCTGAGGTGGGCAACTGCCAACAGGTGGTATTTCCCCAGAAGTGCTTTCTTACCTTCTCAGAGCAGCTGAACTCAAGGTGCTGGATCTTGGCAGCCAATTGCATATTTATCTGTTTTAACCTCAACAGTTGCCGTTCTGAACGTGTCTTAACTGAGATAATTATTCCTGAAAAATAATTGAGAGTCTCAATGATCCTGGTTTCTAACTTAACCACTTGAAAAAAAAATCTGTGTTCCTTATGAATGTATCCAGTTGAGAAGAGTGGTGACAGACAAGCAAGACAGTCATTGCTTAAAGGCATCTGAACTAGGAGGGTCAGATTGTTCATTTCTGAGGACCTCGTTGTGAAATACTTCTCTTTGGTCCCCAGGGGCTGAAAAATCCTTAAAAATAATCACTGAACAGATGAGCATTGAGCTCCTTAGCACAGAGCTTCTTCACCACGGCACTGCCTAGCAGCAGTGTGTGCAAAAGCCACAAAGGTGCTGGCCTGGCTGGTGTGGCTCAGTGAATAGAGTGTCGGCCCGAGCACTGAGGGGTTGTGGGTTCGATTCCCAGTTAAGGGAATGTATCTGGGTTGCAGGTTCTATCCCTGCCTCAGTTGGTGCATGTGCTCGAGGCAACCAATCTCTCTCACATAGATGTTTTTCTCTCTCTCCCTTCCTCTCTCTCAAATCAATAAAAATAAAATAAAGTCACAGCAGAAACATGAATTCTCTGAGGTAGAGGCTCCTTGTACAAACAGGGTGTGCAAGACATAGGCTTTTTACCTAAAATACACAGTATTTCCCCAAGTGTGTGCTCCACAGCCAGTGTCTACAGCATGTGAATAGGTATTACGTACCCAGAAAGTATCAGATTGGTCAATTTGGAAAATATTACAGTTCTCAGAGCCTTCATCACACTAACACATGTTGTGCTTTTCTCAAAGGGGGCAGCATCTAGCGTAAACCATTTTTCAGCTTCCTTGCATCCCTTTTGGATGAGGCCCCTCCCCAGGTGGGTAGGGTGTGATTAGTCTAATACAGTGGCCGGCAAACTCATTAGTCAACAGAGCCAAATATCAACAGTACAACGATTGAAATTTCTTTTGAGAGCCAAATTTTTTAAACTTAAACTATATAGGTAGGTACATTGTTATTAACTTAATTAGGGTACTCCTAAGCTGGCCTTTGCTAAAAACGTCCTCAATCTGATTGAGGTACGATCGCTGAGGCCGACCCCTTCCAACTCTCCCATCCACACTCGTCTTGTATACTTGTTTCGTCTATCTTTTGTCACGTGCACCATTTGCGGACGCGACTAGCACTAACCACTGCACAACGAGACTGCTGACTAACTGGCTCACTCAACTCGTGCATGAATTGAGCACACCTCCCCCGCGCTGCGTATCCCGCGGCCTGCCTGCGCCGTGTCTCCTTTCGCCTGACCGACTGACACCCCCCACTTCTTCTAACGCCACTTCAAAATAGACTCGCCCAGGCCGAAAACCGACTTCTGTGCATGGGCCACGAAGTTTCAATCGCACTGTACGTGGTATTTTGTGGAAGAGCCACACTCAAGGGGCCAAAGAGCCTCATGTGGCTTGTGAGCCGTGGGTTTGCCGACCACTGGTCTAATAGAAATAGGGCCTAAAGGAGAAAGGTAGTTCCTCTGAGAGCACATGTCTTGGTGTCCGTCTTAGGCACAGAGGTGGTGGTGGGACCCCAGATCAGACCACTTCACTTTCCTCTAGACGGCGGGGAGGAGAGGAAACCGACCTGGAAACCACGACCTGCAGCCTCTGTGTCCACTCCCAGGCGCCACCCCTTCCTACCTGCTCTGCCACCCAGGGGTGCAGGGGACATACCGTTGATGATCCGGGCCACCCGCCACAGCCGGAGCAGAATCAACAGGCCAAGAGCCTCAAACTCATGCTCCTGGAACAGGACGACGATGTCGAGGACAAATGAGACCACAACGACAACAGAGTCCAGGATTTCAAACTTGTGGTGGAAGAACTCGAAGCGGAAAACAGATATTTTAAAGAAAACCTCTATCATGAAGAAGGTCAGGATGACAATGCTCATGTAGTGGAACACCTGAAGGAGACAGGGAAGCACAGTGAGCGCAGGTCCGGGCGGGGCAGGTCACAGACCAGCAGGCCTTGAGTGCACCTGTCAGGTCGCCAGAGAGAGATTTCATTCACTGACCAGTCCCAAGCCCCTGCCAGCACCAGGCCCTGTTCTCGGGCTGGTAAAACTGCGGGAACAGCAGACAGGGCTCTGCTCTTTGAAGGACAGCTGGGCGATGGCGGATTGGAAAACATCCGCCGTGCCTATTGGCATAGCAATACTATCACTGTGTAGAAACCTTATTTTCTTTCATTGGGCCTTTTCATTTTTTTCCCTTTGACTCAAACTCACCTCTCACCCAGCACCCTGACTCACCCACCTTGCTTAATCATTAAGCCCTCAGAGCAATGAGGTTCTGGTCAGCATCCAGTAGTCTTAGAACAAGTCTATTGATTTATAGAGACAGAATTTTCAATCAAACTACAGAGAGCATGTTGGCCTCAGTTTCCAGGAAAGCAGAACAATCCCTCCAAACATGTCCTTGCCCAATCAGGACAGAATGACTCCATGGCTGACATCAGGACCAGATACAGTGATCAACTACCCTCTACCCTAGCGCCAACCAATCAGTAGAGACCACGACCCTAACTCCTTGAGTCATGATTAATGATTCCCCACCCCCCCATAAAGTCCTTCCCCTGGAAGCCATGGGGAAGGAGTTTTCTGAGCAGTAGCTCACCTGTGACTCCAGGCATGGTGCCATCTCCTTAATAAATCCTTACTTCCTTGGCTGCAAACTCTCGTTTGATAAGTGCAGGCAAACAGACCCTTCAGTTGGGTAACAATGCCACTGCTTGGAATTTATCCTACAGCTTAATTCACGTGTACAAAGACTTGTAAGGATACGTACTGCAGCATCACTTGCCAAACAAGATCTTCTACATAGTTTGTAGAAAAATTGAAATATCCATTAGAGGGCAATCGTCAAATGCATTATGGTACCTCCATATGGAGCACTACGCAACTGTTAAACAGACCAAGGCTGATCCATATGGGTTGACTAGCAATGATCACCAAGGTAGATGGCGAGTGAAGAGTTCCCAGATCCTGACTGATAAATACTGGTCTTCAGTAAAGTAACCATTTCCATTCTGAGGCAGGGAAAGTTCAAAGTCAGCTGGGACATCATCTTTGAGCAGGGAAATGCTCACAGACTATGGGGTCGTGCCAAAGGAACACAGCAGTCCACTCAAAGGGGCTCACAGTGGCCAGGTTTGGGACCATTTGAATATTGAAAAGAATGGCTATCATTGTAATACACTGAATACATAACACACAAAAAATCCATGCGTCCATAGTGAGGGGTACATGCACACACACGTGCACACGGGAAAAAGGAAAGCTCTTATAAAAGAATAGCAACTATGTGATGTAGAAGGAAAGACAACTCAAAATCACCAGTTTGCATCCCCCAGTGTATTCACTGGCCAGCCAATGCTCATGAGTGGATGCTAATTGGCTGTTAGATATGGAATTATTCATAATTTTAAAAGTATGAAAATGCTATTGTGGTTCTGTAGGAGGAAGACCTTGTTCTTATGTACACCAAAGTATTTAGGATGAAGTGTCATGATGTCTAACTTACTTTCAAATGGTCAGACAATAATATATGGGTGTGTTTGTGGATAGAGATATAAAGAAAATATAGCAAAATGTAGATTTGCCTCTTTTTTTCATAATCAAAAAGTTGAGGAAAAAGAAGGGCACAAGACAGTGAGTTTGCAGGTATGTTATTGATTCTGTTAAAAAAAAATAGAAGGAAAGAGAAATTCATCCATGTATGGAAGGACTGGGGCTGGCCGCAGAGGGACGGACACCTAAGGGTGCCTTGGGAAAGGGGCCACGCGTAGGAAGGTGGTGTTTTACACCTGAAAGGGCATTTTCGAATTATAAATCAACTTTTGTTTTTAAAAAAGTGTTGGGAGAAGCTTTCCAGCCCCTGACTGTCTCCTATGTCACTGACGATGGGCCACAGGTGGTGTATTTTTGGGGTATCCAGTGCCCCTTGGGCGAATGTTGGGGAGGGACTCCGGCAGGAAGTGTGAATCAGGGAATAAATAGTGGCACATCCCCGATGGCTCCAGCCTAGGGACCCCATCAGAATGGCTAAGGAGAAACAGCTCTTCTAGGGGATGGGAAAGTATGGTTCTCCTGGTCAGAGCGCCCCTCTGGAATCAGGGACACACTCCAGCTCAGTGGTCGGCTCAGTGGTCGGTCCGGGAAGCCATCAAGTGAAAGGAGAAAGTGTCCTGCTTGTAGTAAATGCTTATAACTTTCCTCTGCCCTTTGACTAAAAGCACCCAATCTGCTCTCATGCAGCCTCAGGGCGGCTGCTGTCCACCCTACTCTGTCCCCTCCAGTGCAGGTACCAGAGTGAAGAAAGCATAAGGGCTGTGGACACGCTACCCGGCCGGCGTAGTTGTTCTTGTCCGGCTGGATGATCTTCAGGTCCAGGATGAGCTCGGCCAGCACCAGGAGGGCATCCAGCACAACCAGGCAAATGATGATGACCTGCGGACCCAGGGAAGGAGGAGAAGCCATGAGCCCTAAAGGGAGACCGCCTTCTATAGGGAGACAACCTTCTTTCAAAGGTTGGTTTGGAAACATCTGGATGAAACCACTAGGGAAAAATGCCAAGGATGGGAGGCTGCTGGCTATGGCCCAAGCAACTTGTGGGAAGCCCGCTGGGGGGCCAGCTCCTCCACAGAAGCCACAGAAGCCCCTCCTCCCCCTGCTGCCTTCCCAGGCTGTTCGCCTCCTCAGTGCCTGTACCAGGGCATCTCAGGACAGCTCACTCACTGACCCTCTGTCACTACTTGTCTTTTTTTTAAAATATATATTTTTATTGATTTCAGAGATGAAGGGAGACAAAGAGATAGAAACATCAATGATGAGAATCATTGATCAGCTGCCTCCTGCACACCCCACACTGGGCATTGAGCCCACAACCCAGGCATGCGCCCTGATCGGGATTCGAACCATGACCTTCTGGTTCATAGGTCGACGCTCAACCACTGAGCCATGGCAGCTGGGCACTACTTGTCTTTTTCTTACTCGTTCAGTTTCCCAGCATCTCTCAAACCAAACTGCTAATCCCTAGGTGGCAAACAAAATAAGCAATAAAAACATTTTGCCACATTTTTATTTTCCTAGTACTGTGCATTGCTGTCGCTCGGGTAAGCCCAGGGTAGATGCTCAGCAAATAATGAGCAACATGCAGCCTCAGAGGTCTGAGTGGTGGGAGGGACCTCCAGGCTCTGCCCGCTTTGGGCAGTTGGGTTACAGTGATGTCCGCTGTGCACATAAAACAGCTGCCCCGATTCAGGTGGAAAGCCGAGAAGAGTTGTGGGAAAGACAGTCATGACCTGGGGCAGAGGAGGGCAGTGGGAACCAGAGCGGAGGGAGTGGGTGATCGCAGTGATGGCGGTGGTCATGGAGATGGAGGTGGTGACGACTCTGATAAGGGCACTAATGGGTGGTGGTGACAGTGTTCAAAGAGACCACAGGGATGACAGGGTGGTGATGGGAATGGCAGCAATGGAGGGACCCAGGGGACGTTGCGTGACTTTCTTCCTTTGGAAACGGTGGACCATTACTTGCTTCCCCCGGGGCCTTGCCTCTTACACTCTCAGGTACATCGATTTTGGCCTCTGAAGGTTAATATTGCCATTAATTTTCTTGGCAGTTTCAGGATGAAATTCTACAAGTTCAGGCCTACTAAGAACGATGTACTGTATACATTTTTTATCATTTCCACCTGTAGCTAATTATTTCAGTAATTAAATGATTTGATGATATGGATTATTGTGAAATTGCATGGCAAACTGTTTTTCAACGAAATTTTCATACAGATCAAATTCAGCAGCTTAATACAGATTCAAGCTTTTGGTGGTTTTTTCCCCCCTTTTCTTTCTTTCTTCATCTTTGGTTTTATTTTAGAGCTAAAGGGATCTGACTTAAAATCAAGGCACAGAAATATTAAAAACAGACTGCATATTCAGCCCTAAAAAGAGACAAAGTACTGGTACATGCTATGACGTGGTTGAACCTAGAAAACATTATGCTAAAGTGAAAGAAGCCAGACGCAAAAGACAATCTGTATTGTATGATTCCATTTATATGACATGTCCAGAACAGGCAAATCTATAGATGTAGTAAGATTAGCGGTTGTCAGGGGCTGGGAGGTTATTGTTTAATGGGTACCAAATCTCCTTTGGGGGTGATGAAAACGTTCTGGAACTAGATAGTGGTGATGGCTGTGCAACCTTGTGAGTGTATTAAATAAATGCCACTGAATGATTCCCTTTGAAATGATTAATTTTATATGAGTCTCAGGCCCAAGGTCACAAAGCTACAATGCCTGGGTCCCCACCCTGTATTTTCTCTCTTGGTGTGCCCTCCCATGTGTGACAGCAGTCAGCTGTACATCATGTCACCTTGGCCACCTCAAACCATGTGGAACAAGTGGTTTGAAGGAAAGGGATTCCAGAATCTTCTGTATGCTGATCCTACTGGCACAGATCGAAGCCCTGAGCCTGAACCTGTATCCCCCGCTGTGAGGTGGCCACCTTTCTTCTACCCTGAGCCCCCTCTCCAAATCTGGTCATGTCACCCCCTCCCACCCGCCTGTAAACTTTCCATGGCTGCCCACTGCCCAGGGATGACGACCTTCCAGTGCCTCCTCTCTTGCCAAGCGGTCCCTCTTCTCACCACACACATGCCTCGTGGACCCTCCACAGTCCTGCAACGCTGCCGACCCTTTCCTACTCGGGCCCTTAGCAACAGGGCCATCTGCCTGGAAAGCTCCTCCCTCTCCCACCCACTGAGCTCACTCCTGCCCAGCCTTCATGTGTTGGGGGAGAGGGGCATGTCACCTCCTAGACATGTCTCCCCCGTCCCCAGGATCTCTCAGAGCCCCCTTCTGTTTTCCTACAGAGGGCTTTTCTCCACTTGTAACCAGTTATCTGTCCGGGTGGTTTCTGGAATGACTGTATCCGTGAGTGGGGCACGAACGTGTCCACCGCGCTCGCCACTGTACCCCTCCCCTCCCCCCCACACACACAGGTGCTAAGAAACGGCTGTTGAGTGAATGACTAGACATCTCTACTTGTTTTTCCCCAGTACCAGCATCTCCGGGGATCCCAGCTCAGGGGGCCAGCTGGTGGGCTGAGTCAGGAGAAGGGGGGCACCTCCCCGAGGGGGATAATCCAGGGCTCCCCTTGCAGCTGGAAGGAAGCTGGCTCCTTCCTCCTGCTCCTGAAAATTGAGGGTTTGGGATTTCAACCCCAACAACTTAATACCACGCTTTCTTTCCTGTCGTAGCCACGGAGGAAAGCACTGTGCCGGGCTGCTGGGCCTGCATTCTTTCTCAAAGCCACATAAAAGCGACAAAAGACCAAAATAAATTTTCCCTGTTTTACCCTGGAACAAAGTCAGCGATGGGAGAGGCAAGGGCTGCTTCTCTCTGCTTCCAGAAGGGACACTGGCTCTTGGTAGGAACCGGATTATCTTGACCCAGGGTCCCCCAAGTGGCTCCACATGGTAACGGGGCTGACAGGGGCTGCGTGCTTCCCCAGTGTCCCTGGGCCTCCTGCATTCTCCTGGGCCTTAGACGTGCTCCTGGACTCCTGCCTGCCACCTGAGGGCTGGCCAGACTCCACCTGCCTTTATCCTTCACAATCAGATGGCAGGACAGATCCTGAACTCCGCAGAAAGCTCCATTCCTTTGCTGTCCTTTGAAGCCCCCCATCTCCCTCTCATGGTCTCCCCATGACCACACCTGGAAGTCGGCGGTGAGTGAAGCCTGGCAGGTATTTTTGGCTGAGACTGAGGCCCCCAGGGTGAAGAGTGGGTGTGGCCTGGCACGCTCTCGCCTTGTGGGGCTGGCACGTTTTTCCTGCCTCCAATGTTTATCCTTTAATTGACTTCGTGAGTGTGCGGCAAAATTTGTATAACATAAAATTGACCATTTTAAAATTCAGTAGCATTAAGTCTCTTTCCAAGGTTGTGGAACCACCCACCACTATATAGTTCCAGAACATTTTCATCACCCCAAATGGGAGCCCTGTACCCATGAGGCATTCTTCCCTCCCTCCAACCTGTGACAACCACCAGTCTGCTTTCTGTGCCTACGGATTTGCTCCTTCTGGGCATTTCACATAAATGGAATCATACAATACATAGTCTTTTGTGTCTGGCTTCCCTCACTCAGCAGCATGTTCTCCAGGTTCATCCATGCTGTAGCCGGTGTCGTTTCCTTCCTTTTCGTGGCTGAGGAGTATTCCAGTGGGTGGATGGACCACATGTTGTTTATCCATTCATCAGAGGATGGACCACTGGAGTGTGATTTAATCCCTGAAACATGGGACCTGCCCCGGGGACCCAGCACTGTGTAGGCGCCTGGCACATGGTCGGTGCCCAGGAGACATCTGCACCGTGAATGAGGCAGTGGCAGAGATGGGCCCCCACCCCAGCCTCGTAACTCTCAGCTGAGGGTCTGCCCACCTACCTGAAACCTGTGGGAGCTGAAGAGCTTCTTCAACCTGGTCCTGAAGTCTAGAGGGCGCCTGGGTGTGGAGACAGGGGCCGCAGTTGGCTCAGCAGCTCTGCCCTCTTCCTCTGAAGCTGGTGTTGGCGGCGGCGGCTGCTGCTCTTCCTCCTCCTCCTCTTCCTCCTCCTCCTCTTCTTCATTCTCCCATTTCTTGTAGTTGATGTTCCAGGCATGGTAGTCATCCCCAACGACAGTGAAGTGCTTCAGGAACTTGCTCATCCTCTCGGCGGGAGCCACCTTGGCCCTTCGGGTGACCGTCTGAAGGGAGGGGACAGAGAGTGAGCGCTCGGCAGGGCGGCCTTGGAGCCCGGAGCCCGACCAGACCAGTGGGACCCCACGTCTCTCTGGCGGGGAGCAGGGCCCCAGCTGGGCCACAGGGGTGAGGGCAGTCCCAGAGCTCAGAGCACCGTGCGAGCACAGAGACTGTGAGGTCACAGTGGTTTCTTGTGCTTTTATTTTTGGAATCCAGGCTGTCAGTGTCAGTGAGGCGACAGGAAATGCCAGACCCCATCAGGCCTATCACTGTGGTCTGGTTGGCAGTAACCAACGGAATTGGTACTACAACCCAGTTACAAAATACCCATCACGGGCCCACATGTAAAGATCGGAAGAAGGCCGCATGGTTCAAAGATATCACAACCTGAAAAACCAGAGGTGAGAGTTGCAAGGGGGAGGGGAAAGCCAAAAGTAAAAGTACCCAGAGTTTCATGCCATGGCCGATCAGTCCTTGAAAGGTGAGAAGCAAATGGATTTTTTTCTAGGTTCAGCTGTTTTAAATCCATCGTGTATTTAAAATATATATTTTATTGATTTTTTTACAGAGAGGAAGGGAGAGGGATAGAGAGTTAGAAACATTGATGAGAGAGAAACATCAATCAGCTGCCTCCTGCACACTCCCCACCGGGGATATGCACACAACCAAGGCACATGCCCCTGACCGGAATCGAACCTGGGACCCTTGAGTCCGCAGGCCTACGCTCTATCCACTGAGCCAAACCGGTTAGGGCGATAATACATTTTTTAATAAAGTTTGATAATGAAAACTTTCAGGTATGGATGCAAGAATAGGCAATATGGTCAGTGGAACAGAAGAGAGCCCTAAGCAGAACCTGGATGTGATGGTGGTGGCAGGTCAGATCAGCGGGAAGGGCTGGCGAGGTCAGGACAACTGGCTTTCCCAATAGAAAAGTAAGTAAACAAAAGACCCCCATACAACACAAAGAATAAATTTAGGAGGCATTAGCATTAATGTGTGTGTGTGTATATATACATATATATATATGTATTTTTTTTAAACTTTAAAAGTCTTAGAACAAAATACAAGTATCTTCATGACCTCAAAACAGGGAAAGATTGTTTAAAGAAGACAAAGCTGCTCGATCGGCATGGCTCAGTGGTTTAGCATCAAGCTATGACCCAGGAGGTCATGGTTTGATTCCAGGAGGTCACAGTTCGATTCCGGATTGTGGGCTCAATCCCCAGTGTGGGGCGAGCAGGAGGCAGCCGATCAATGATTCTCTCTCATCATTGATGTTTCTATCTCTTTCTCCCTGTTCCTTCCTCTCTGAAATCAATAAAAAAACTATATATATATTACAGTTTTTAATTCTTTCTTGTTTAAAGTATTACATATAGTATTACTTATGTCTCCTTTTCCCCCCATTGACCTCTCCCCGGCTACCCCCAGCCCCCAGCAGATTCCCTCACGCCCCTACTGTCTGTGTCCATTGCTTATGCTTATATGCATGCATACAAGTCCTTTGGTTGATCTCTTACCCCCCCCACACACACCCTCCCCTGCCTTCCCTCTGAAGTTTCATAGTCTATTTGATGCTTCTCTGTTCTGTATCTATTTTTGTTCATCAGTTTGTTCTTCATAAAAATATATTTGTTAAAAAAGAAAACAAAAACACAAAGAAATGGATAGAGTTGACTCATCAAAACTAAAAGCTTTTCTATCTCACAGACACTCCTACAAAGTTAAGACACACACAGATTGGGAGTAAGTATTGCAATGTACTTAATAGACACAGATTTAGCATCCAGAATATATAAAGAAACGTTACTTCAAAAAGATAACTCCATGGAAAACTAGGTAATAGATATTAAGCAAGTCACTTAAGAGAAAACCCAAATGGCCAAGATACTCAACTTCACCAGCACTCAGGAAAATGAGAGGTGACGTAACAATCGCACACCTTTTCACTCCTCAGATTGGCCAGATTTTAAAGTCTACAATAGCAAATGTCGGTGAAGGCGTGAAACAATGGGGTCTGTTGAACACTGAAGATAAAAACAGGCAGTGGCACCACCATTTTTGGAAGCAATATGGCATTGTTTTGTCAAGATGAAGTTGTGTATATCTTTCTTAACGATCTAGTGATTCCATCCCCAGATGGGATCCCCCCAAAACTACCCATATGTGCTGAAATCAATGACATGCTCAAGAATGTTCACCAGAAATGTTCACCTGAATGGTGGGAGATAAATGAATCCTATTTGTGTGATGAAATACTATACAACAGTTAAAATAAATGCCTCTGTATATCACTGAGGACATCTGCATGCACCCGGCCACAGAGATGACCTGGTCGGATCTCCCCATGCTTTCAGTGATGGGGTGGACCATGAGTTGCCAGGGTTTGCTCAAGGTCTCAGGTAACCAGCAGCCATGCGCTGGAAAATAGGACTGAAGCTCTTTGATCCCAGGCCACTGTTCCTTCCTGTTCTGTGGTGCCTTGTACATTTCTAAGCTCCAAATTCATTAAAAGGACACCACCTCTTTCATAAGCCTTTCCCGAACCCCAATATTTTCTTAAGTGCCCTGAGACTGTGGGGCGAGGTTGCGGGTGATGTGTGTGGAGGGGATGGTGCTCCAAAAGGCTATATATATCCAGGAACCCCTTCGACCCCAGGCTGCCCCCCCTGCCCAGTCTCCCATGGATGTGTGTGGAGGGGATGGTGCTCCAAAAGGCTATATCCAGGAACCCCTTCGACTCCAGACTGCGCCCCCTGCCCAGTCTCCCATATTGTTCAAGCACCGTGGGAGCCCCTGATTTGAGACTTCCTCCGATGCTAAGAGGCCCAACGAGAGCTTATAACCTCCCAAGAGTGAACCTTCTGAATCTGTCCCCTTCCAGGATCCTGGGGCCTGCCTGGCTCTCTTCTCCCAACCCCCACTACTCATTTCCTCTTCCGCCGTCTCCCTAGACCAGGCCTTCATCCTCTCACCCAGAAAACTGCAACAGCCTCCTTATCCATCTCTCTCCTTCGACCCAGTTCTTCCAGCACATTCTCCACCCAGCAGCCTGAATGGATTTTATAAACCTTCACCTCTGACCATAGCACCTGATCATATCACTGCCCCCTGTTTTTTGCTCTTTGAATAAACATCCAAGATCCTTCCAACGATATACATGGCCCTGCAAGGTTTGATCTCATCTCCTACCCCACAACCTACCCCTCCAATGGGCCACATTCTCCCCCTCTGGGCCTCCTGAGGGGTCGTCCCTCAACCTGGCATGCTCTTCTCCCCACTGGCATTGCTCACTCTTCCTCATGCTGGAAGCCTCAACTGAAATGTCCCTTCCTCAGAGAGGCCCTCCTTGACCCCTCAAATGTAAATCAGACCCCTTCTTAATTTGATAACCCCTCTTTATATTCTTTACCTTTCCTTTGAGAGCCCTTAAAACAATTTCCAACTAGAAATCTTTTTGTGCAGCTGTTTATAACTTCTCTCTCCACACTAGCATTTAAGCTCCATCAGGGCAGAGTGTGTGTCCCCAGAGTCTCACATGACACCTGACTTAGAAGCCCACCAAGCGCCTGTTGGCTGAGGGCCCTCGGACCCCGTCTCCCATGTTGGGCTGCGACTCGTCTCAGGCTGGATCCCCCATCACTTGGTTCCCAGGGCTGGCCAAGGGTGGCTACTGGCCATACCTCCCCGCCAAAACCTCCTGTGCTCGTCTGCAGCAGGGGGGAGCCTCCGAGTGCTTTGCAAAAACCACAGATTTTACAGAAGAGAAAATTTTTCGTCCTGAAACCTTGCGACCAGTAAAAAGAAGCAACGTTTAGTAATTTGGGATGAAAATATTTACAGCACCCAGCAGAGCAGAAAAGAACTCTGGTTTTAAGTTTAAAAAATCTGTCATTTCAGAAGCAGAAAAGTTCCAGAAAAGGGCAACCATATAGCTCATCACGAAAATGTTGTGGGCCTCTGAAATCCACCACCCACCCTGGACTCCCCGCTCTAGTGCCCCCCACGCCTAGCCCTGCCCGGGAGGAAGGACTGACTCAGTGAGTAAGGCAGAGCACCAACCTCAGTGCCTGGCCTGGAGCAGCAGCTCCATAGTGACGGCTATTCTTCTTCAACATCGAAAACTCTCCTCTCCACTGCTCCGACTTCATCACCGTCCATGAGTATTTCACGTCTTGGCTTCCTGGCCGCTGCCAGCCTCTGCAACCCCCCGGCTGTTCAGTCTCACAAACTGTTGGATTTCCTTTGTGGCTTAAGCTACATTGAGTTGTTTCTGTCACTTACAAACCCAAAAATCTAGACCAGTAGAGTCCCTGACACTGGAAACCGCCCATCTCCCTGCCCCCTGCATTAACCCTTACTGTCCCACTATATCCTGACCCTACTCTCTCTGGGGTCACCTTTAGATCGAAGCCCACAACTGTGGTTCCCATCTGCTTGACTGTACTGCATCCTGTCACACTGCTGACTCAGGTGTTTTTTAAAAATATGTTTTTATTGATTTTGAGAGAGAGAGGAAGGGAGAAGGAGGGGAGAGAGATAGAAAGATCAATGATGAGAGAGAATCATTGATTGGCTGCCTCCTGCACACCCCCTACTGGGGATCAAGCCTGCAACCTGGGCATGTGCCCTGACCAGGAATCAAACCAGTGACCTCTTGGTGCCTGGGTCAATGCTCAACCACTGAGCCACACCAGCCAGGCTGACTCGGTTCTTTTTGACAATCTTGCCTCTTGATTTTTCTCCTACGGCTGGCCATCCTTCTCAGTGTCCTGTACCATGTCCCTGTCCTGCCACCTGGAGTCCTTGAGATTCTGACCCTGTCCTAGGGCAGGGTGACCTTCCCCTTTGGTGGTCTCAGCACACCTGTGTTCTCAACGCTGCTCATGTTCAGAGTCTCAGCCAGATGACTGGTATGCTATTTGCTGTGACCCAAACTTCCCTCCCATATCCACTTCTTCCATGTTCCCCCAGGGTTTGGCATCACATCCACCCCGCTGGC